GGACGGGTTCTTGGCTGCTGTTGCGGTGGAGGAGACAGTAGGCGTAGAGCTGGGTGAGTTGGACTTTGCGGTGCGGTCGCATGTGTTGCTTGGGGTAATGCGGGCTGCGGTTAAGGAAGGGCAGGAGAGGGAAGTTTTTCTGGAGGAGCTGGAGAGGGGGATGGTGCGGAGCGGGAGGATCGGGGAGGACACGGCAGGAGTGTGGCTGAGGGAGGCTTTGGGGGTTGTCGAGCCGTATGTGAGGATATGGGAGGGGGTGTGGCCGGATGCAGAGGAGGAGAGGGCGGAGGTGCTTCGGCGGATCCTGGTGGACAATGGCCAGCTCTTTGCAAGGTGGAAGGTTTCGCCGCATTTGAAGGAGTTCAATTTCGAGCTGGGTCCGAGGGAGTTGGAGTAGTAGGCTTGCTTCTATTCAAATATTCCGCGCTAAAAGTTGATGTTTTTCTGCATATTTCAAGTACTTACTCCCTTTGAATGGTCCTCGAAGTACGCAAAGGCTGACGGTCTTTTCACCTACTAGTCTAGATTATACGCTGTGTGCCTGACTAACAGTCTTTAGGTGGCATGAGCGGCCATACGCAGGGTCTGTCCAAATTAACGTCAAGTGCTACAAGTGTTTGTAACACTTTTACCCCTGAATAGCTATGTACTAATACTAATTTGATTTCTATTTCAGGTGGCGGTCGAAACCATATGACTGGAGACTGTTTTATAAGCCATATGGACCCCATACGTTGAGACCTGGTCCCCTGACACCCGTTCGTGCGTATCTCCAATATCATAACATCCAACTCTGCTTTTTCTGAGCTTTACAGATTCCCCGCCATCTCTATAGGGTGTTCGATTTTTTACAGCTTCGTCTGCTATATATTCGGCTCGAGGATGCAAACAGTGGTGACCTCAGGCCACGTTTTCTCGGTGTTTGTTATTCTTTGAAGTGCTCAGGGGATCGGATGGATTTCGCAACTCAGCTTCCTTGGTTTGTCGACAGGAGTCTAGTCTCTAGCTTTTATCTTAAGTGGAGTCAGCAGCGTTCATGAAGTCAATTATGTTGGACCTCCGGCGTGGTTTGACTAGTTTGCAAAGGCGTCTCAAGTCAGTCCCAAACCACGATATCGCCCAGCCGTAAATCGGGAATATTTCCTCGGAGCCCCCTCATTCAACACCGACCATCAATCCAAATCAAACTTTGGCATGTGTGAGACTGCAGCAGTCGTAGATGCTGTCCTATAGACACTGGCAGGGAGACAGGCCACTACTATATCATGACCGCCAACACTCCTGCGTGTGTAGACGAGGAGGGGTCAGCCAGCAACGACGTGGGATGCCCGGCCGATCCGCATGGGTTTCGCCGTTACCTAAAAATCGAGGCGCGTATTCCTGCGGAGAGTGAGTACACTGCACCTACGCGGACCGAAACATACAGGTACACCACGGTCCCCACCGCTACAGGTGCTCCTGATGCGTCTGCATGTGTAAGCAGGTGGAGGTCGCTGCTTAGGGGATGTCTTCCTCGGCGGTTATGCCTAGGTAGGCTGCAGATGCGAGCTAGGCTACGCTGAATGGTAGGGGATAATTGGTAGGACTAGCAAAACGTATGTATTCGAATGGTCAGAACGAACCGCTTGGTTCTTCTCAAGCTGTCTAACTTAGCAACACTTATATTGTTGTGTGCGCTCGGAGCCGGACAAACGCGGGTTCCGCCCTGCCAAGCCTCCGCTGTCAGCGGAAAGTGAATGCAACGGCTGGCCGCCACGTGACAGCATGCTTTGTCACTGCCAAGCAGCAACTCAGCTCGGATAAAACCGTGGCTGTTCTCTCCCGGAGCACCTTTTCATACTATCAAGACAATCCGGGTGCAGCAGACCACGGTCGCCTCAAGACGCAAGAGTCCCGGCATCTCGACCAGTTCCCCATCATACAAACATGGCAGTATGAGGCTCTCGATGACGGGAGCAGATTGGCGAATATCACCAACATTACGACTTGGGGCGACCTGTCAATCCAGGAAAAGACCGTCTACTGCAGTATAACCGGGCGTACTCTACAGCATACCAACAAGGCAGGCGTGGAAGAGCAATTCGATTACAATATGCTCGAGCAGATCTGGAAAACAACCACCTCACCCAACACGGATTTTGAGACCGTTCGCGTGCACGAGTATGCTGTGCTTGGGGAGGGCTTGGGAACTGAAGTCTCTGTGACCGATGCCAACGGAGTCAAGACACGTTATACGTCAGATGGTCTAGAAAGACAAATTCGAGTTGAGGACAGGATCCCTCCTCTGCTGGCAATGACGATCCATTTCGAGAAGTCTTCAGGCGTAACTACAATGCTCAAGGTCAATTCTCCGAGGTAACGACCATCGACTGGCTAACGACGGACGGGGACAATCCCGCGACATGCGAGATGCAGCAACGCCTCGAGTTTGACGATTGGGGCCAACACTGCAAGACTACCGACAACAGCGGACGAGTCACCATTTCCATCACCGACCCGATTGACCAGTGCACCACGATTGGTGTCGAAGGAGAAGGGACCATGACCACCTGGCACAATCTGGCGGGGCTGCCGACACGGACCCTATTCCGTAAAGCGGATGGAACAGACTACAGCGCAAAGGTATCCAGCTATGACGGACTGTATCGTCTCGTCCGGGAGCAAGATCCACTTGGACGAGTCACTGAGTACGCGTCCGACAGCTTTGACCGCATTACGGACACCACCTGGCTGCCTGGCGGCCGGACGACCACCACGACCAACACCGACCAAAGCTCAACAGAGCTACCGTGCAAGGTCGTCTTAAACCGGCAGTCCGTTGTGGGAGAACAGCGGTTTGACGGATTAGGGCGAATGAAGGTGCGAAGCGTTGGGCCACGCGTCACCTCACAGAACTACAACGGCAACACCCCCGAGCCTAGTGAAATCTCGGATTCTCAAGGGGATGTCGTCTACATGGAGTACGAGCCAGCGTTACACTACGCTCCTAAAACTGTCACTTGGAAGGAGAGTACAGATACGATTGTATATGACCCCAAGGTCGGCAAGCCCGCTGAGCTCGGGGGAACATATTGCACGGTCACCCAGACCTATGATGCCGTGTCTTATCCGTGGAAGGAGACCTTTGAGATCTACGACGGGGTGAAGTTTGCCACTGAATATTCCTTTTTCTATGGCGGGTCGGCTACAATCATACACAAACCCGCATGGCCTCAAACAGTCCATGGAGAACGACGAGTGTGGGAGACTGAGTGTTCAGAATCAAGGGGACTCCGAGGTGGCATTTACTTATGACACAGCGAGTCGTTTGGCAGTGTACCAGATCCAAGATCAGAAGGCAGAACTCATGGTATCGTCGGAATTGACATACGATGACTTTGGCCGAGAAACAGCACGCACGGTGAAGAGAGGGGAGGAGGTCCTCTTAACCATAATACAGGAGTTCAATACACTAGGATTGATTGAGTCACGGTCAATGCAAGATGGACAAGCCTCCATTCTGCGCAGCGAAGGATTCGAGTACGATGATTACAACCATCTCATGTATTACGAGTGCTCTGGGCCGCAAGCGCCCGCTGACGAACAAGGAAGACTCCTGCAATCGCAGTCTTTCACCTTTGACGACTTTGATAATATCACCAACAAGACGACGGTATGTCAAGGAGACCAGGGACAGAACGTGACTACGTATCAGTATAGCTTGTGGACTAATGGCCTGGGGGTGCCGGGTAGCCGCAGTGTCGACATGTTTGAGGTGCGCCTCAAAGGTGAGGTGTTGGTCGAGAATGACTCCAACGAACTGGGCTGTCGCGCCGTCCCCAAAGGTGGTGGTTCGGCCCCCCAGGCCCCGCCCTGGGAGGTGGAAGTGAATGAGCGGGAACTTCGATGGTTGCTATAATCATCAGCACCCATCCATCATGTTCTATAAGTTGACAGTATAACTAGTGTAGGGAGACGAGAGTAATAGAGATAAGGGTAAGAAACTAGGTTTCCTAATAGCAGCAGGGAGAGATACCTAATAATATAATTTAAGAGTATGGTCTTATTTAGCCATTACTTAAAATGCTCATCTAGTCTCTTATTACCATCCCCTAGACAGAAGGGGCAGAATCCAGGAGCTACTAATGTATAGTAGAATATTAATAGCATATACTAGGGTTTTAGATTAGCTAAATAAATACCATAGTGCTAATTCTAGTCTTCTTTACTATATAATAGCTGTGTATATAAGTAGAATCATGGAGTTGCGCTAGTGACGACAAACAGATTGCCTACTGACAGTAGATGACTCGGCGGACTGGCCGAGGCGCTGGAAGACGATAGGTTCCTACCAGCTTGTTAGTTGATCTGCTGGGCAAGCCTACTTCCTAAGCTGATGAACGCAAGTCGTAAAGGCTAAAGCTCCCATACTAGGTCAAATTGGTCAGGAGACAGCGCTCAGGTACTGACGTTTGACGCCCATGCCCCGCGCGTTGACAGGACTTGGGCGCGCGGGCCTAGATCCGGAGAACGCTCGGATCAGTATGGCTGTATCTCGGCACTGCTTAGGCGTCCATATATCCCAGGCACACAAGTTTATAGCTGGCTGATGCCTAGACCACCTTTCACATCTCACGCATATGTTTAGGCCCCGCATATCTTAGGAAGTAACGGCGAACTTCCCAAGTGCTTCTCTTTGATTGCTACTGTGCATCTCACTCTCTTCAGTGCCTTGTGGGTTTGCAGATCCTCCCAGAGGAAGTAGGGGACATGGGAGTTACACGAAAGCCAGGTGTTCAGGCTGGCAGAGACCCAGATTTTGCCTTGGAGATCGGGAGCTTAATGGTTCCCTTCCAATATTACCAACTTCAATCATTAATTTGGTTGTGGCTGGTGGAATATGCAAGCTTCTGGAAAGAACCACTGAAACAGCGACACTGTTTGGTCTGATAGATATCATACACTTGCTGACCCTATTTGTATCAACTGCCCCAGGGATGCCCGCGATCTCTTCGAAAATGACCCTAGCAGTTCCTCGATACGCACGTTCTCGTCCTCATACACGAACTTGAATCTTGAAGGAAGAACCCGTCTCTAAATGGAAGTTAGAGGAAAATTCACGTCGCGAATAGAAAGCCGCTTGAAGATCATTCATTTACGCGCCAGTCATGGCCACGCTTTTCCATGGGCTTCAGGGTCATAGCGGCCTGGCAGCGGTTGAACCATAACTCTACCATAATTATAGTATCCTCCACGGATTGCGATTCGTCCGAGCTGTTGAGAGGGACGCGTTCTTACTCTTGCTATTAATACTCTTCAAACCTGAGCTACGCTAGATCGTTCAACGACCCTTGCAACAGATGTCAGATTTGATTCCCAAACGGACACTGCTGAAGGCTGGGACTTCTAACCCACAAGGGGTCGGGAACTGTACTAGAGTTCCGTTAGGGTGTTGACTATATTAGGTATAGTAGCTGTCTTGGCATGGTACAGTTCCGTGCTTCTTTCTTAGGTACAGGGCTGCCACCAAATCAAGATAGAATTCATTGAAATTTTGTTGGCCTTTTAATTCAAGTATAAACTCTGAGATAGTGAAATTTCAATGGGAAATTCCTTTCTTTGGGTGTGTTATGGTTGCTCCTTTTTTTTAAAGTCTTGTATTATGGGGTTTACTAAGCTGCTAATTAGATAAGGTAAGCATACAGGCTGCATGATTCAGGGGCTGTCTTTTATATAACTTAACATCATATTATCCTAAATCAGTGGAACTATAGTTAAAACATTCTCTTTACTGGTTAACTTAGTTATCATGGAGCATCAGTTCTTCCTAAAATTATCCCAGTTCCCAATTATTATATGCCGGATATGCCGCCATGGGGTCTGGCCTAGTGAGGTCAGTAGCCATCTACAGGGGAAGAATCATCATCTACCGCAGGCAACCGCGAAGCAGGTTCACGAGGCCATTCAGGGATGGGATGGCATTGAGAATGACCCACTGGCTATTCAATGGCCAGCTAGCCTAGCCCAATCAATCCCTGAGCTGGATGAGCACCTAGATGGGTTGTTATGCCAGCGTGCACCCCTGCAATGCCACTATGTCACATAATTAATCAAAACCATTAAGCGACATTGGCGTGAACATCATGGGTGGAAGGCCCCATATAAAGGGGGTCGACCTAATCACTATGAGCGGGAGCAGGCCTAAACTATGGTCCAACAGGGGTTCAAGGTGGTTACCTGCCAGCGGTTTTTCCCCTCACGAAAGGGGTCCCACTATATCTGGGTTCAATGCCCTAACCAGCAGCCCATGGAGCAACCCAGGCTCACCCCCACCCACCACATCCAGACTGCAGTCGATGAGGTGATCCAAGCATGGGAGCAGGCCCAGGCGCAGGCTAAGGCCCAGCAGACCGTCCAGGCCAGCGAGCTCACTGATGCCAACCCGTGGCTGCGGATGACGGGGTGGGCCAACTACCTCCAGGGTAACCAGGCAAATGACCTGCTTGCCTGCGTGGCAGCCCCCGAGGAGGAACCCAGAGATGCCACTGAGCAGCGCGTGCAGGTGATCTGGGATACCATGGAGCAGGTCGCCCGTAAGAGCCAGCGGTCGGTCCAGCGATGCGGCCAGGCCATCCGGGTGGAAGCCGTCCGGTCTGAAAAGGGGCAGACCCCATACCGGCTGCTGCTGGCATACATGAATGAGGCTGCTATCAAGAAGCATGTGCAGCCATGGCAGCAGATATTAGCATTCATTACGCGGACCCAGGCCCCGCACGATTAGGCCAGCCCCAAATATGGGATGACCGCACGGCAGCGCAAGAAATGGCGGCAGCTATGGCAGCTGGCGGGCCAGGCCCCCCAGAGCAGCCCCGATCCCATGGATACCGAGATGGACGACCCGCAGCGGGGTGCGTGGGCCATGACCAACATGGAAAAGGCATGCTTGGAGTTTTGTACTGAGTTACTGAACCAGCGCCATCGCAGCCATGAATATGAGAGTGTATTAGTATGTGCCATGGCTGTGTTAGGCCAGGGGGAAACCAGCTGGCGGGACCCCGAGAGTTATCCACTAATATTATCCGAGGTCATCAAGATCGCGCGGTTCATGGTGGTCCAGAAGGCATTATGAATGGATCCACACCCGTGGCAGATCATCCAGACGTGGGAGAAGAAGGACCAGAGTGCTGAATGGGTGTTAGCCAGCGCAGATGATACATTAGGGGACATTGATGAGGGGTATGACAGTGATGACGCCATCATAACCTAATCATCACCCCCCACGTCATCCATCCAGAGTGACGACCCGTTACCCGCCATGGACATGCACCAGCACAGCTGTCGACCATTCCAGGAGCAGGTAATATGGATGATGCACTAGTTTATAATTCATGGCACCCATGGCCCCATGGAAATATTACTGGATTAGCGCACATATGGGCTTAAGGTCCATTATAATCACACTGCCCCCGGCCATGTGACATGGATGGGGGAGGACCAGTTATTATACCAGCAGATGGCATTCACAATAGGTGATTTCTGGGGGTTCATCCATGGGTTAGTGACTGCGGCTAGGGAGATACTAGGCCATTTATGCATGCAGGATCATTCCTAGATGCCCCCCATTCCATGGATGGCATTATATGATGATCCCAGCCAGAGCCAGGCGGGGTGGAACTTTTTACAGGACGCACGGACCCAGTGGCCGGTGGATGGGACCCACTGGATGATCGACCGGCTGCGGGCCGAGCCGGCCATGCAGCGGCATTTCATGCGAGGGGGCTGATTCCACCCCGCGGCATCACAGACGAACCAGACGAACCAGAGCAACCAGAGCAACCAGAGCAACCAGAGCAACCAGAGCAACCAGAGCAACCAGAGCAACCAGAGCAACCAGAGCAACCAGACATCCCAGAGTAGGACCGTCGCCCACACGGCATGGTTATGGGGCCCTGATCCAGGCACCGGCCGTGAATGGTCATCCGAGCGGT